AACGCCCTAAACAACACTAAACGGTTAATAGAAGATAGTGCAACAGGGCTTGACAAGCGAATGCACAAAAACTAGTTTGAAAAAAATCATTTTCTTACTGGCGATGGTAACGTTCCTCTGTTTCCTTGTCGAAATCAATGTAGTGCTGCGTGGATGATATTCCCAACCGGTAGGCACGATTCCTAGGAGATGATCGAACTTTTCGTTTTGTCTCAGGTACGTTTGAAGCGACTAAAAAAATTTTTCTGTCATATCTTAATGCAATAGGAACAGTTTTATAATTTAATTCAATCGGCCCTGAGCGTAAACAGTCCAACGGTGGTTTTCATCTTCTATTTTTGCCTCAATGTGTCATTCATGAAACGAGTGCTCGTTTGAGTGATACCTAGCTATTTTAGCGTCAGCGTAATCTAATGCTTCGCCCGTGTCAATAGAAATCAACGGCGAGTGGCGCATGGTCAATCCGTTGTCTACTTGGAAAGCTGTCGAAAGGTTTACTATGGGCGAAGGCTTTCTCTGCTGGGTTAACTTCTAAAAGTGAGTGCAGTTTTGCGAGGTAAGAGAAGAGTGCTGTTAAGTATTTGCAGACCGCCAATGTCATCCGCGTAAACGAATTCAAGATAACGTATGCTATCTGCATATGCTAAATAGCGAGGGGCAAAGAAATGAGTCTGTAAACAATCGTTTCCTTGTTGATTGCCTATGAAGGTAAACCTAATACTGATGGTCGCTTAAGTGTGGAGGAGGCAAATGAATAAAGCTTTAGGTGGCTGCGATTACGCAGGCATCATTAATGCGAGCAGCTATGTTGTTCAAACTTTACTGCGCTTATGACGACAATTACAGCAGTAACAGCAACGCGCAAAGACCGTGTATAAAACGATGCAGATGAAGTGACAAGTAGTCCTCAGTTCAGTGGGGGATAGAGAAATGACGAAGACATCAACGGTACCTGAAAATCCATTGACTGCATGAATATGAGGTGCAATGGTGTTTCTGACTTGTTCATCGTCAGGCGAGCGTTCAGTGCGTTGTCCTCAAGGCAATGCAGCACTTTCAATTTCGTCGCATCAACGCAAATCTTCCAATCGAATTCTTCGGCTATTGCTAAACATGATCATTAGTAGCGCCTCCCCACTCGGTCAGGCGAAGAAGCCAAAGCTTCCAGTCGATTACCCAGCACTCACCCCGGAAAACCTTTTCCTTTCCAATTGTGTAAGTGCCCACTACTACCAAGAGTTTGTTGTTACTGGCGGCCAGATGGTCACGAACGCACTCGACGGTGGCTGCAATCGCTTGCGACTGTGGTGGAAATTTGTACTTTTTGTCACAATATGTAGTGTCCAAAAACAGTGTATCGACCTGTACAGTCTTCCACAAGTCGTACTTTAGTACGACGTCTTCAGCCCGCGTATCACCGCTATGCAGAATGAAACGACCGTCCTTCAGTTTGAATAAGAACATCGCCGCACCAGGACAACTAAAATAACCGCCCAAAAGACCAGTGTTCAACTCGTGAAAATGAGGGACAAAGAAGTGCAATTTACTCTAATATGACATGCAAAGTAAGCAATGCGAAATTTTCACCTCCCTACACAACAACACATCTTAGGATCACCTGATCACATGAAACCACATTGCATTGACTTACTGATTCGAATCGATCGCTGTCACAGTCGTCAAATCTTCCAGCAACGTTGGTTCATTTAATGTCAAAACGATGATATACTCAGGACTGACCTTAATCTTCAGTTTCACCAAGTTGGCCGTGATCTGTAAGAAACTATTTACAAACAATTCTTTGAACAGAGCAAGCGACGGCCAATTTACAATGGAATACGTATATATAATATACGCTTGAACAGTCTGGTAGCCATGAAATTTGAAACATTTCGCTGATGAGGGTTTGGTAGCTCGACTTGAGAGAACTTTTATGCCTTACAAAGCAACTGTGACTATGAAAAGATGACTTCCAGTAGAAACCTGAGCGAAAAGATTGGGCGATACTTTAAGCATTTTCGCCAAAGAAACCACAGTGTAATCTTTTTCGATGATATTTATCTTTAAAATGGAGGGAAACAGTCAGAAAAAACAGATCCTACTTCCTGGATGATGCCAGGGAATGAAAAGAAAATATCATTTGTGCCACTAGCATGGTCTGGTGCAAAAAACTTCTAAGATTGTAAATTCACATGGTTGTCCGTCCAAACGAATGATGACATCTTATACATCGTATGAACTTCAGAATAATGGTTTTGCATATCGGATCAGACTATTTCGCGCATAACTTCTGCAACACCAGATTTTATGGTATGCTGCACCGCCGTCTTGCTCCTAATTACTTAGGAGATAGCATACGATTACCAGCTCCTGAAACATTGTTTGTTATGAGCATGAACTGTGAACAAAACTATGGGAGATACTTCTGGCACTGCGGATATCCAAATGTCATGGAGTCCTGGCGTGTTAAAACGATCTCTCTAGGCAACTACACGTTGAGCAGTGAAATAGACTATGAAATCTGGTGTTGGAAGAGTGAACGTAGCGATTGCAATTTCAATGCAACATATTAGAACGCTGTTCCATATGGGTTCGCAGCATAGAACTGCGAACAATTTTTAATATTAAATTAAAGCGCCAGCAAGCGTCACCCACCTTCCACCCATGTCACAGAAGATAACTTGCCATAGTGGATAGTATTAACAATAAACTAGATCTTACGCGTGTACAGTAAAGTGGTTTATTGAAGCTCTTGCATAATCCGCCGTAATGATCGCTGTGGAAATGCGTCAGAAAATAAGCGGTAATCGTCTCCACGTAGCCATATGAAAACGCATCGACGGCATACTTCGTTCCTACACAAAAATTTTGCAGAATAAACATCGAAGCATATGTTAACACAAAAACAGGCAGTACTGAGAGCAAATTAATTTACTCTTAGTCAATCAAGGTTAAAAATAAATCCACAATCTATACCTCATAAATTTAAAAAAAGTCAACGCTGATTGCTTTTGAAACACTGTCAATCAAAGGCGTAACTGAAACAACTGACTTTGCTGATATCAACTCGACCTACAAAGTACGTGTTCTATTAAACTAACTACCCATGAATCTAAAAGCAAAGAAGTTGTGGAAGTCACAATCATCAGTCTTTGTTGATGCACTGCTAGATGAAGCCCTCTCGAAGACTTCGCCGTAGAACTCCCTTTGTTTTCTGTCATTTTCATCCATCTTGGTCCAGCGAAATTCTTCAGGTCATATCATTGGAGGTATTCCTCTTAGAACCCAGTCAAGCGAATTTCTCGTAGAGCGGTGATCGATTCTACTTGCAACGTGCTCTAACTATTGCGACTTTAACTTATTCACGTAAGCTTTATCGTAACCTCTTGTTTATACTCTTATTCATTCGTTCACTTTCCCACATTTTCCTTTATTCTTTACACAAATCTTCCCATACTGTAGATCTGCAGTTTTGAATAACTTTCACTCGCAAGGTCCACGTTTCACATTGAGAGTTAGTACTGGGAGCACACACTAATCGAATACTTTCCGTTTCAAGCATAAGGTTGGTTTTCTGGATCATAACTTATTCAGTCGCTCAAAAGAGCTCTGTGCCATTTTGATTTTTTAGTTCATTTCAGTGTCACTGAGGCAGTCGGTTCCAGACAGACATGGTTTTGCATTTTAAGTCTAAGCTTGTCGACTTAAACAGATCCCGCGGTCATTTACTTGTTTCATATTATCTGAGTCTTCTGCCGTCAATTTTCAGTCCCGCTCTCAGCTTCGCTCAGTCCTTGAATTCTTCTTTGGAATTCTTCTGGTTCCTATGAAAGGATCAGAATGTCATCCGCAAACCACTGGTGGCTTAAGCAATGCACATACCTTTTCAGCCCCTGGCTTTCTCAATAGGGTGCATTTAGAACCTCCTCTGGGATTGCTGTGAATAACTTCAGTGATAGTGCGTATTCCTGTCAGACGCCCTTTCTGATTTTGAATGTGCTGTGCTTTTGTGAAGCTTTACACCAGCAGGTGCATATTTGTCAGTCATGGCGATAAGATTTCTGTGTCTTTCCTCAGCACCCAGGCTCCTTCAAGAATCAAGTAGTGAAAGGATATAAAGTCAAATGCCTTCACAAAATCAATGAACCCCAGGCGGAGAAAAATCTTAAATTCGCTGCTACTATGAATTACTTGTCGTGTAGCCTAGAAAGAATTCACCGCATCAAATCAACTAAGCAGTCTTGCACACTTCTCTGAAGTGCTGCCGATTAGTACTACATTGTTCCTTAACCTTCTGTGGACTATAAACCCTACTTTCCTGTGCTTCCATTTGCCGATCCTCTGTAGAACAGGAGGTGTCCACTTTTAAGCTCTAGCAGCTCATACACCTCAAGTCTAGCTTCACTGAGTCCTACGATGTCCCGCTTAATTTTTCCAAATTCTTCTTCCAGCTCTTGAAGACGTAGTTCGCCTAGAAGTGATCTGAAATTGTACATTGTCAGCTTTAATAAACCGTAACAGTTCTGATCCGTTGCTCGGGCACTCTTAACATAAGGTGCCCTTCATGTCTGAAGAGTCGCTGCCTTCTCCGGCGGCAATGCATCCTACTGGAAATCAAGTGCGTGGATCTAAATGCGACTTTATCTCAGAGGATTTGGCTGTAACTTACCACGCTGGCCATGCGAGTTGCTGAGTGTTGTCTTCCACTCGGTTAGGTATATTATACGAACATTTACAACATGGTTTAACCTTTCAGAGCCAAGAACCTCAGATGTACATCTTTTTGAAAACCCGATGTCACCATCATATCACGCTGAGGCAGTGGAAGTAGGACTTAGGAGGAGTCATGCAAGTAACGTCGCGTAAATTCATAAAATTGCGCTGATTAGCCTATTGCCAGCGTTCGATATTTTATGTTTACATCTACTGTTTTGTTAACGCATAAAACGAGCTCCGGCTCCTGAAACACCATTTGTAAAAAGCAAAACATTACTCTAACCAGTAAAGCGATGCAAGATGCATATACTGGGAAAGCTGCTGCTAAAGTAAAATTAAGCTGAGCTGTGACACCTTAGCTTTCTATTTGGAGCAACGGCTGGCGGCACTATGTCGAAAATACGATTTGGCAAAGTTATACCTCGCTATACATACAGTGTCAAAGTAGAACGTATAAAAACTTCTAAAAGTTATTTGCGGATTAGGTAGGGAATACAGCATAGTAGACATCTGCATGGAGGTTATAAAAAAAACTATTCAGGACAAAATCCGTCATAACGTAGTTACAAAATTTGATTCGTCTTTTTCATTACAGAAAGGTTTCACTGCAACTTAGAAAAAGACTGCTGCTGCGTCGTACGGAAGAGTCACAAATATAGTAAAAATGGAATTTGAATTAAACTTGTTCATAAGTGAAAACACGGTCAAAATCACGCCGAATGTGAAAAGTTCGCAAAAGATCGATAGTGGTAGCTTAGTTGCTCGCATTTTCTAATAAAATACCCACCTTCAAGTGTGTAGACATCGTGAACCATAAGTGGCTTGTTTGTTTGCTTGCATA